GCTAATTTAACTTAAAATTTTGTTTTAACAGTGACACCTTATACCAACTGTCCCTTCTTATATCTCAATCCTTCCAACTCTGCCTTCCATACTTCTCTCGTCTCTTGATCATTTTCCATTGGCCTTCTATGCCTTCGTTCTAACCACCCCTCGTCCATCGCAGAGTTCCTGTTTGCCGACTTTTTATTTACACCCAGGTCGCCGTCCCAGCATTCTTTATTTCATTATTTTTTCCTCAAACCCGGGTTCAATCAATCAATGGCAACTGTCGAGCCCTGTTTTCACAATCTACATCCATCCTCTAACATCTTCAACGGTTCCTGAGACTCCTGCTCGTCAACATTTTTTATATTTTTATTTTTTTTTAATGATTCATCGACCTGGTACACTCTTCCTCCCTATGTTAACTCCACACGGAGAGCTTGGGTAACCAGCGAGATTTTTTTTTTCTCTAATGCTCGACCCAGGCCATCACCAGCACGATGCGCCCACTCATTTTTCGTTTAATTTTATTTTTTATCTGGTCGAGCTCAATCACCGACAGCAGCGCAGCTCTTGAGCCACCATCTCTTTTTAACCTCTCTCTCAAAAAAAAAAAAAATCTTTCCTATATTCTCCCATTACCTACCTCTCCTTCAATATTCACGCCTTTTGACCATCTGATCTAATGCTATTACAGAGCATCTTGAGTTAGCTGAACCCTGAAAACAATACTTCACTTCTAAGCTCGTATTGCAGGGCAGGACTCCTGAGATGTCCTTTGCAGAAATCAATTCAGACCTTCTTCCTTTATTCCTCACTGCGGCACTACCTATCGCAAACGATTTTCTTAAGTCAATTTTCTTTTATATTTTATTTTACTTTTATTATCTCTACTTCTCCTCCTTCCTGTATTACATCCCTGAAATTATGTTGTAAATATTCAAGACACCTTAAGTAACACACTATTGTGTGTGTTTACTTTAAATTTATCCTTCCTATGTACTCCTCTTATATATTTTTTGTAGTTTTATAATATTATATCAATGTGTCACCACTACCCTCCTTTATCTTTATTTTATTCTAGTAACTAATTTGTGCCCCAAATTATTTCCCATTTAATAGGTTTGCTAGCTTTTCTCTCATTTATGTGTAAATAGACTTACAGTTTTACTAGTTTTGTGGTGTTGGACTTTGTTTTTTAACTTACAGATGTAGATAAAACATTTCAATATTAATCGATAATATCATTTTGTTTATTAACCATGAACATTAATGCCATCAAATACCAATCAACCCTTTATATATTATTACTTTTAATATTTTTATTTTCTTTTTTTTTCATCATGTTTAGACTTAACATTTTACAACTTCAACTATTTTAGGCACCATTTTAAAAAACCTACACCTAACAATATTTATAATATTTCTTAAACAGATAAAACATTTATCATTTTATTTTTCTTAATAGATTTTCAAAATGTTATTTTTGACGCTTCCCTTACAACCTCTAAATCTATCCCATGAACCTTTCCTCCCAACTTTTTACATCCATCAAGAGATTATTGTTCGTCAGCCATTTTCTTTTTTTTTTATTGATTAAACTAACTAGAAGACCCTTTCTCGCTATATCATTCCAAATAGTGAGCTCAGGAGACCCATTTCATCATTTTTCAACTTTTTCTTTTCACCACACAAGCCGGACACAATCAAAATTGACAGCAATAAATCTCTTACATCCGCCTCTCCTTTTCCACATCCTTCAAACCTCCAACTACCTTCCAAGGGATTCCAGTTCGCCGAACATTTTTTTTTTCATTGATTAATCCGACTGGAACAATCCTTCCTCGCTATACCCACTCCCAATAGTGAGTTCAGGATATCCAGCGCGATCTTTTTATTTTTTTTTCTCATCGCCCGACTCATCATATCAATTCACCATTTTTTCAAATTTTCACTTTTTTTTTCTCATAATTCAACCGGGCACAATTTTATGGACAACAGGGATCCCTCTTACCCCTTTTACCTCTACCTCTTCCTTTTACATCCATCAATCTTCCCACCTCTTTTCACTGTCTGAGCTAATGATGCAGACGGAATATCTTGGGCGTTCTGTTAATGAAAACAATGCCTCACTAAAACAAGTTCGCATTGCATTGCAGAATGTTTGGGATACTACTTTGCAGAAACATGCTCAGATACCCCCTTTCCCCTTTTCAACCTTAGCGTCACATTATACGTTCAGTCAATAAACTAACCTCATTTTTTTTGCTCTTATCTTTTATGCAATAAGATATTATATCCTTGTACGATTCATTTTACCATATTTACCATTTTGTATTATATACTTCTTCATAATCTTTTATCATTCATTTTGTGCGTTTTTATTTTTATAACCTTGATTTTACTTCATTGATACATCACCCTTACAACATCTTTCTCTTTTTAACTAGTAGCTTAATAATAATTTTAACTAATTTGTATACAAATTATTTCTTTTATTTTTTTATAATAGGTTTGTTAGGTTATCATTCATTACATATCATTCCCCCAACCAAACCTTCAGTACCGGGGACACATTCTGTAGTATATTTTGAGTTAGTTAGATCACAACCTTCTTCTAATATTTATTTTAAACCCATATCTATATAAAATATGTATCGAACAATGGAAGTGACAAATAAAACAAAGAGGACGAGGTAGACCAGACGACGCGATAACCCAGACGAACAGGTGTTTATGATAATGAGTTCAATCACCCCGTCAACAGGTGGCCAGACGTGATAAACAACCCGGCGCCTGACAGGTGACGTGATTATGGGAGCCAATCAGAACTCGCCAACAAATGCGAGCGTCTCATATAAAAGCCCCCAAGATGGGACAAAAGTTAGTTGTTTTCAGAGTGACGTTTATGCGGCCGGTCGGGTCTCTCACCCCTATCCGCGATGTAGGCATCCGCGGCGCCCGTGGTTCGACTGCCTTCGTCCGTGGTCTACCTCTACCTCTTGGAGTTACCATCTAGACCTGCCTCTGTCTCTTGCTGTCCCCGTGCGGGAATCCCATCACGCACCCACTACCACGACTGCCCAGTACATTCCACATCGGCTTGCTCGGGATTATTACATATATATATATTTTAAAGGCGTAAGATTTTTTTTGAAATTAAACAATTTTTACTGCCCTTACTGCAATGGGAAAATTAATGGGAGGGCCTGGCTCATCAGTGGTGAACCCTCCCAGCGGTTTTTCCATTGCAGTAAGGGCAGTAGAAATTGTTTAATTTCAAAAAAAAAAATCTTACGCCTTTAAAATTGTTTTTAATTTCGATAACAGATGGCGCGCTAGTGCATCATATATATATATTTGTATTTGATTCATTAGTTGTTTTGTTTTGGTTTCAATTGTTTATGTAAAATAGTTCTCTGAATTTAGTGTTGTTTCTTGACGCAAGCATCTCTTTTGGGGATATCGCGTCTGATTTGTGATGGTCATAAATAAACATATATGCATAAAACATATATATACATTCTTTCACAGCTACAGAAGTTAATCATTTTTAACCCATCGAAGAAATTTGCGAATTCGTATATAACAAAGATATTTATGTAAAATTCAATAATTTTTGTAAATTCATTTTTATTTCTATTTGAGAAAAACCGAAGTTTCAGTTTTAATTTTGTTTTTATTCTTGTTATTGAATTGTATATAAAATGAATTGTATATAGGTAGATAAAGTGTATTTAGGCACAAGTATCCCAAGCTGGGATAGAGCGTCCGATATATGTCAAATAATATAAAATAAATCAGACATATATTATATTATTAGCCGAATGACCCGGGCAACGCCCGGGTTTTACCCGATTAAATTTTTTTATTCAAATACTATTCGTTACAATTATAAATTAGAGCCGTGGATGTCATTCTTGTGAAACCTCCCGCTCCAAACTTTACATGTACATTAGGTCAGCTGGTATTACCCCCCATTTTCACCGCTAGAGGCGCGAGCGAAAGAGCAAATTTGCAAATAACACGACGGATATTCGGGATAGAGACCTGAAATTTTCACTAAGAGTTTTTCCAGATTCTACTTTATATACTGTTGAAATTTCAGTCAGATTAGTTACGTATTGTGGACGTGTATAGTTGACAAACATACATACGCTGACTTTTATATATATAGGGATAATAATATAAATGAGTTTTGAAAATTGTAAAAAAAAAAGCATCGGCCGGGAATCGAACCCGGGCCGCCCGCGTGGCAGGCGAGCATTCTACCACTGAACCACCGATGGTTATGAGAAATGGCCATATTTGGGTATTTATTCCATTCACAAAAACAAACGGTGACAGAATTGATTAAGAATTGATTGATGACTCTGATACTTGTATATTCTATTATTTTATAAATAATATTTGTTGTGTAGCGCTGCCTTACTTTAGCCACGAAAATACTCTCATGCTTGAAAGCAATTATCTTTTATTGCAAAGTAAAACTACAATAGAAAATATGGCGTCAAAAATAACAAGACTTCTTAACTTCTAACTCTGAACTGGACTCTATTACTTAATCCAAACATCCTTTTCATACCACTAATTTGTAAAATCATAACTATGCAAATGTACTACAACAAAGGACAAATATACAAAACACAAGATCATGCATATGGATATAGAGATAATTATTATTGTTAATCACATTTACCATTTAGTAAAATATTGTAATAAAGTATTTATAATTTTAGCAGAGTATTATTTTTTATGTTTATATTTTGCTATACTCTGTACACTTCCCTCATTTGCTTATCTTTTGTTTACCATTCATAGTTTGTCCTTGCCTGAAATAAATTGTTGCTTCCTCCTGAAGTTTTTGTCTTCTTTAATTTTCCACGTGGCAATATCCATAAAAATGAACAATTAAAATATACAAGTATCAGAGTCATCAAGCAACAATTCTTAATCAATTCTGTTACCGTTTGCTTTTGTGAATGGAATAAATACCTAAATATGGCCATTTCTTATAAGCATCGGTAGTTCAATAACTAGAATGCTCGTCTGCCACGCGGGCGGCCCGGGTTCGATTCCCGGCCGATGCATTTTTTTTTTTTACAATTTTTAAAACTCATTTATATATTATACAAGAATGACATCCACGGCGCCAATTTATAATTGTAACGAATAGTATTTTAATAAAAGCATTTAATCGGGTAAAACCCGGGCGTTGCCCGGGCCATTCGGCTAGTTTGAAATAAAAGAGAATATTTGCAGACGATAAAAATGATATTTCAATCATTTATAAAAAGTAATTCATTAATGTAAATATTATGTGAAAAATGTAATATTGAAGAGTGGTTAACCTATTCACCTAATTTTTAGATTGTATTAAATTACATAGTTTTGGATTATTACAGGTCTATATAAATGCGCGTAGCTACAATTTTAAGATAGACCGTTACATATTCTTTTTGTGTAAAAAGATCATATTAATTTGAAATAGAATATTCCATCACATATATAGGTTAGGTTTCTATAGAGGCAATATCATGAGAAGACCATCCGTTCTACTTGATTTCTTGAAAAAATTGTTTTAGTGATATTTTTGTATAAAAAGAAATGGAAGCATCAAAGCACGAATGTTTCTTTTTAAACATAAAAAAAAAACTTTTGATATTCTTACAATGGTGGAAATTTATATAAAAGAGATATTTGTGCTTTAATGCTTCCATTTTTGTATTATGTTAGAAGTTTATTTGGTAGAGAAGAATAATTGTCGTAATTCTTCCGAAGATAATATCCTTTCGATTCCAAAATATGAGCAGTTTCATCGTCTACTTTTTTTTGCCCCCCCCCCCTCCGGGAGAAGAAACACGTTATATATATATATAACTACGTTATATATATATAGCTACGGTTCGGAGAGAATTGCCCGAATTTTAAAGAGATATAATATAATTACAACATATCAATCTGCACAAAATCTACGACAAATCCTACGCCACTCAGATACAAAAAATATTTCAAACCAAGAAAATACAACCAATGTAATTTACTAAATTCCCTGCCAGACATGTCAAGCTACATACATTGGAGAAACAGGTAAATCACTTAAAGATCGTATCAATCAACATAAAGCAGCTTAAAAAAACTACAAACCATTATCCCTACTATTAGACCACTCCCTAAACAATAGCCATATACCAGATTTCAAACAGACCACAATTGTATACAAAAACATAACAGAAAAGCATAGTAGACTGTTTTTGGAAAGTTGGGCTTCTGCCGAAGATAAACAGAGTATAAACAGAAAAATTGATTTTCCAGAAATTTATAAAGAATTCATATCATAATTATTTATAAATAACTATGTATATACCTTTTATTTAATAATTTATTTTGCTTTTAAAACTTTTTTAATTTAGAATTAATATGTAAACACAATTTTTTACAATTACACTGTGTTGTATATAAATCTCTATATCTTCCATAGATAAAATAATAATCTATAATATTAAATATTAATATAATTATTTGCTGTATATAAACTGAAGGCAATAGTTGAGTCAAAGATACAGTTCTTTCATTGGCCTTGTAGAACGAGAGTGGTGTACGCGTGCGCGCATGTTCTAGTGAAAAACACAAACATCCTCGATAAAGAGAGGCGAGTTGCCCCTCGAAATATTGGAACAATAAAAATAATTAGAAATCCAATATATGCATCTTTATATATATATATATATATATATAAAGCACATGTGCTCGTGGTCAGGAGCTTTTCTATAATTGTTATGAAACCCTCAAAAACGTCTGATATACTTATGAAACATTTTTTTCCATTAAATGAGTGATAAATTGAACATATATGTAGTGTATTTGCATATCGAATTATGGATATGCAAATATCCTGTTTTGCATACTAGTGTTTATAGAATTGTGTATATAAATAGAGACAGTTTTAAGCTACGTCAGTCAGTCACTTTATGTAATAAAGAAGATTACAGGAGTCCGTCTTTGCCTTAGCCTCGACACCTCACACTTGGCTACCTCCCACCTTTAAGGACAGAACAAACCTGGCGACGAGGAAAACAACTCTGCCGACGAGGATAATACAACTCTGGCGACGTGAAAATCTACGGGAAGCTACGGTAGTGACTACGAGGTGTGCAACTATTGGTACGTGTCTACGGGAGCGACCACGAGGTTTTAAGAATTGCGGACTTGGACTCACTCAAAAGCATCAAACCGCCTTAGTGGCTAGATAAAAATGGCGATTAGTCAAATTGTGCCTTTCAGAGTCTACAATCCAAATGAAGATGATTTTGAAATCTTTATACAAAGATTCAATGCTGCGTGCACTGCAAATGAAACTAGTGAACACAAGAAAGTTGTGATTTTGCTGTCTCTATTGGACTCAGGACTACTGAAACTAGGCAACGACCTATTCTTTCCAGAAAAGATGGAAGCACAGACATATGAACTAATCGTAAAAAAATTAGGCAGCATTTAGAGCCTAAGAAGAAAATAATACCTCAGAGGTGCTTGTTCTTGAAGCGAACACAGAGGGAAAACGAAACTGTTTCCGAATATTTGAGAGAGTTGAAGCACCTGGCCTCTAATTGTGCTTTTGGGGAGATGCTTGAAATGATGCTACGAGATAGATTTGTAGCGGGCTTGGCATCAGAATCCCTTCAAAAGAGGCTCTTGCAAGAGGATGATGAGGTGAAATTAGAAAGGGTATTTGCCCTGCCAGTCTCATACGAGTTGGCAGAGAAAGATGCCAAAGAGCTGCATGAAAGAGAAGTAGCGAGAGTAACCTCACATATTGAGAGGAAAAGAAAATCGAAGTACTCTCCTACGAAGAAAACCTTCACGTCTTCGACCAAAGAAAGGACTTGCTACCGGTGCGGTATGAAAAATTCCCACATAGCACCAGAATGCCCACACAAGTCAAAGGCTTGTTATAAGTACAAAAAGATTGGGCATCTAAGTAAAGTATGCAAAGCGGCAAATTATGCACTGAAAAATAGCTATGTGCACGAACAGATACTGTCCTTCAAGGGTGAAACGGAGGCTAAAGTTACGCTCACTTTAGACGGAAATGTATTAAAGTGTGTAGTGGATACTGGAAGTCCGGTAACTTTGATGCCGAAGACCATCTTCAAGAAATTCTGGAAAGTAAAATTATTTCCTACTTCGAAGAATCTAAAAACCTTGTGCAATAACCCTATCAAGTTAGTAGGAGAAAGGGACGTTTTTGTTGAAGAAGCCGGAAAGAAACTTAGATTAATAGTGGTTTATGAAGGTTTCCCAGAGGTTTTACTAGGAAGGGAATGGCTGAAATTTTTTAATATAAATTACAGTAAATTATTAAAGGTAAATAAAATTTCGGAATCTTGCATAGACTCATTAATTGAAAGTTATGCAAATCTGTTCAACAATGATCTGGGTTGCTTAAAGGATGTAAAATTAAATATTTGCATTAAGAGGGATGCAGCACCAGTGTTTTGTAAGGCTCGAAGTCTGCCTTTTGCTATGAAAAAAAAAGGTAGAGGGTGAATTGGAGGATATGGTAGATAAAGGAATTTTAGAGCCTCTTGATTACGCCGATTGGGCAGCACCCATAGTGCCAGTTTTGAAGAAGGATGGCGCAGAATTAGAATCTGTGGAGATTTTAGGAGTACGGCAAATAAGGCAATAATATTGGATAAATACCCATTGCCTACGATAGATGAGATATTTTCAAAATTATCGGGTAGTACAGTTTTCTCAACTCTGGACCTTTCAATGGCCTATCTGCAGGTAGAGCTAGCAGAAGCCAAAGGAGTAGTAAATATAAATACTACGAAGGGATTGTTTGCATATAAAAGACTCCCTTATGGTGTGGTTGTAGCACCGAATAAATTCCAGAGGTTGATGGACAACATTTTTGCTGACATACCAGGAGTGGCTTGTTATATAGACGACATTTTGGTGTCAGGTAGAGATGCAAATGAGCATAAAGCCAAGTTGGAGCTGGTATTTAAAAGATTAGAGGACAAAGGCTTGAAATTGAATAAAAATAAATGCAGGTTCGCGGTTGATTCGGTTGAATACTTGGGGTTTCGAATCGATAAGAACGGCCTGCATCCATTGATCAACAAGATTCAAGCAGTCTCTAATGCTCCTGAGCCTAAGAACATTGGTCAGTTACGATCATTTATCGGAATGTTGATGTACTACGCAAGATTTATGAGAAATATCTCTCATATATTGACTCCTTTTTACAAGTTATTGAAGAAAAATACTCGTTGGAAATGGACAAGAGAACATCGGATATTGTTCCATAAATGCAAATCATTATTGACTAATGAGTCAGTATTGACACACTATGATCCAACGAAGGAACTGGTACTGGCATGCGATGCCTCAAGCTATGGACTTGGTGTGGTGCTTAGTCACAGAGACAAAAATAAGCAGGAGAGTCCAATAGCGTTTGCGTCGCGAACACTTACAGATGCTGAAAAAAATTATTCCCAGCTTGAAGAAGCCTTAAGTATTGTTTATGGCTGTGAAAAATTTAGGCAATACCTTCTAGGACGCTCGTTTGTGTTGGTGACGGATAACAGACCGCTTATGCACTTGTTCTCACCTCACAAACCGATTCCAGTATGTGCGGCGTCTAGGATAAAGCGTTGGTCGTTAAAGCTGGGTGCTTTCCATTACTCAGTTGAATTTCGGAAGACTGACGACCACGGAAATGCAGATGCTTTATCAAGGTTGCCGTTAAAAGCAATTGAGAGAGAGTCTATTGATGAAGATCAAGTCTTGCTTATGAGAAAAATTAATGAAGTGCATTTTTCATTCCGGGATGTGGCTTTTGAAACAAGAAGAGACAAGATCCTTTCAATTGTTTTGAGGAATGTCCGGGAAGACAATTGGCAAGTGCCAAAGATCTCGAAAGAAAATCCGTTGTTCCCTTTCTACAAGATTAGGAATGAACTAGGTGCGGATTTTGGCTGCTTACAATGGAGGGAACGGATAGTAATTCCTCCCAAGTTGAGATCGCAGATTCTGAGAGATCTCCATGAGATGCATTTTGGGATAGTAAAAATGAAAATGA